GGGGCTGAGAGCTTGAAGCCCCCAACCGGAGCCCTGGCTCCGAGTCATATATATATATATATATATATATATATATATCACAGGCGGCGGCTGAGCCCCACTCCCCGAGCTTCACTCCGCCAAGTCGCGTCGCCCCGAGCAGGAAGCCCGGAGAGCGGGCTTGGGAGGAATTGGGGCCATGGAGCGTAGAGTTTTGAAGGTTCGGGCTTTTGGCTGTAGGCTGAAGGGCCGACGTCTTCTAAAAGATATCGAAGCTGTTTTCACGAGCTTGCAGCTTGGAAGTGTTTGTAATAGATATTACCTGATTAGGCTGCCGATGTCTCTGTAGGGTGATGGCAGCTGTTACCGCATCAAGAAACGCGGTGCTTGTGTTCCCACCTCTGAAAACCAACTACAGGAGAGCCTGAAGCGGCGAATGTGATCCGGATGTTGGATATTCGGATTTAAACGTTCTGGCCGAGCGTTTGTGCTGAGGTGTTTGCTGCATATGTGGATTCACCAACGAAGCGGCTCGGCAACAGTTACGTGTCCACACACCTGCCATATGGTACTTATCCGGTTTTGCCTGTGACTGGTCACACTTCGGCTGGCTGCAGAAACTGCCTGCATTTGTTGGAGCCCCACGACTCCGAGAATCCGCCGGCTTCGACATTCTTGTCATCTCCTGCTCGGACCATCAAACCTAAGACCTCAGACTTGAGTCATGCGGCCAAGACTTTGGACTGGCGTCTCCCAGAAGAGATGGTGAAGGCTGCCTGCGGCTGTGCGGAGCACAGTCCGGCCTCATTGGCACCATAGGTTTAAGTTTAGGAATTTCAGGCTCAGGGTGCGTAGATTTGAAGTTTGTGCAGCTTAAGCGGAGGCATTGGTTGAACGTTATAGGTTTCAGCCTGGCGGAACTGTGCTTGGACCGAGATCTTGGCCCTCGCCTGGGGATGGACGGCGCTTGCGCTCGGCCGCTGCTGCCGCCGCCGTCCTGGCAGCTTGCACAGAAGGTGCCACGTGCCATCAGTCCGAATGCAACAAGACCAACAGGACGTCTCATCTGGTTTCAGTCAGCTGTCGAACGGTCAGCTAGTGCTTGCCTGGTCACGACCGGACAGGTACAGATGCAGCCGCCCATGGAGAATCTGCAGCTGTGGTGAGTGCAGTGCACAGGCTCCCTGAATCAAAAAAGGTTGATGAAAGCGACCGACTTGCTGGGTTGCACTGATCCACCAAGCTGAAAGCTGCCCCATCCCGCTGCTTTTTGGGCTCAAAATCTTCCAGCATCCCACTTATCAGGGTGGCTCGGCAGAAACGAAGGGCCTCAGCTCCATGACCCAGCATGCCATAGCAGTGCAGTGTGCAAGGGCGAGGTTTGCAAATCCACTCCGAACCCGTCCCCATCTCTCCGAAAAGCCAAGGATTAACCCTGGCCTGGAGAACCTTCCCGGTGCGGTGCTTGGCCAAACCCGGGGCAGAGTTTTAGGAGCTTGGGCTCCGGATGTGGAATGCTGAACTAACAGGTCGACCTATCAGCCAGAAGCCGGATTATTCTCATGCTCTAAAGTCTCTAAAGGTAAAGTATAGGAATCCCAGTACTGATCGCCCGTATGCCATGTTCCAACTTTCTGAGGTTCACTAAAGCCTTGCATGTGACTCTTGACGGCTCAGGGCCGCATCCGAGACCGAATCATTTATCGCCTGCCGCCCAGAGTCTGACAGCAGACACCGAATGGCTCTAATTGAAGCCAATTGGTTGCCGAAGTACCGTGGAACTCCTGCAAAGGGACAGAGACCTAAGGCATTCGAGACCTCCGAAGATGTCCGGCTCTTGGTTTCTTGCAAAGATTGTAGGAAAGGCGAGGGTTCAGAGCCGGGCCTCACTCCGTGATCTTGGCAGGTTCTCATTATCATCCAAGAGCCTTCTGCTCCTTTCTTTCCTGCAGCTACAACTCACTGCCCCAAGCTCAGACTGCCACTCCCGTGAGGGCGACAAGCGATTGTTGAAGAACAGTGTCCCTTGCCTTTTTCAGGTCGCCAGTGTCGAGGCCGGACCCAGGTTGATGCCTCCAGTTGCATCCACAGAGTGATGCAGCAAGCAGAAACTACAAACTCCTGGCAGGAACTTGGACTAACCTGTTTAGAATGTCGCAGTCGATGCATACAGCATTGCACACTGATAGAAGGCCAGCAATGTGTCGCGAGAGATGCAGCTCTTATTTTCGCTGCAGGTCTTCGCTCCCAAGGCGAGTTTAAGAGCCACCGTGGACGTCAGCTCCCTACCGTATTCTGTGGCACCTGCCCAGCAACGAGCTTCGGGCCTGGGTTTAGTCTAGTCTTGGGAACATAATGAAGAGGGCGACTCTGCTAACCCCAATTCTTATTACAGTGCCTTCTGACGGCTGAAATGACAACCAACTGAAAGACAGACCTTCCCTAGCGCGTGCTTTTTTTGCGTAAGCCTGCACCTCTGAGTATCCCTTTCTGTCCATCTGCACTTGAACCAAAATTTGGCGTTCTTCTCCCAGGCTCGGAGGTTAAACCATGGGTTGATGACTTGGGAGTTTCCGAAAACTAGGGGTACCTTCTTTTGGGGTCCTTATGATAAGCATCCTACAGTTGGGGGTACTATATTAGGGTCCCGTATTTTCGGAAACTCCCACTTGTGTACTCAGCAGATCAAAGCTGGCAAGAACACGCGTCTTCTAGTCAGAACAGCCGAAAAGCCCCCCCCAACGCCTGCGCTTACACACGTTCAAGGCTGCTAAACCTCTGAAGGCCTTTCAGCCCCGCGCCGCCGAATCAAAGGGAAAGGAAGCTCGTCAATTCCAAGATGACTCATGGGCTCTCGTTGCTGCCTTTCTGTACAAGTAGAAGCCTGATATTAAAGATTCTATAGAACCATATTGCAACCCTATAGTATAGACTAGAACCCTATAGAATCCTATCCAGTTAGAATAGAACCCCATAGAACAGGACCCTCTAGAGGCATATACTAGAACCCTCTGCCATTCCTCCGAGGCCGCTTCGGCGCAACAGGAGCTCCAGAGCGCCCTGGGGGAGGCGCTGGGCCCGGGACTCGGCTCTCCTTGACTTTCAGGGGGGGTCCCAGGACCATTTAGGCATTTAGGGTGTGGGGTTAGGGGCGAGGGCTTTAGAGTCTTTGTTCTGAGGTCTAGGTTTTGCGGATTTCTACCTGAATCTGCGAGCAGTGTTGCCGCAGTTCAACGCATCTGTCTTTTCAGGGGTCTCCTAGTACTGGCAAACGAGAGGTAGGAAGATTTTACAGCAGCGTGCCGAGGTTGTGGCGGGCAGGTGAGCGAGGAGCATCTTCAGGCAGAGTGCACATGGTCTGCTCGGAAATCGGTGCATGTGACGTTCCTGGACTTGGTTGGATACTTGGATGTCGCTTGAGATGAATATGCAGCAAGTTTCTCTGAGCACATCGAAGCAACTCAACTGCCTCTGGCACGGTGGGGCTTCTCGTACTGAAGCAGTACAGAGCCTCTGCAACTCACCTTATGTAGATAGCCAGCGTTCTTGGAGAGAGTCCACATGGCAGGACATCGAAAACTCTCTGATGTCCATGCAGCGGACTCTGCCCCTGAACGGCTTGCGCCCCAGATGACCACAACTGATCGTCCGCCCCTTCCTCTAGTTTCAGGATCAGCTCACCAGGTTAGGGCAGACCAGAGATATGCCCTGGAAGTGACCCAGTGACAAGCCATGAAAAGCCCACTGATACAGAGGCTCACTTTCCAGCTCAATGGTTCCGGGATTTCGAATGGGCTTTCGAAGTCGGAACTACCGTTCTAGCTGCAAGCTCGCTCTTACTGAATATCAGCGCGAGTAACTTCTGTGAAATTCTGTCTGTGGTGGGAGCTCCGATTCCCCCAAAGCTCACCTCCTTCCCATTAAACCCTCAAATGAACCCTGCAAAACCAGGTCAGGGCCGCTTTGATCGCCGTTCTCTACGTCATCTTGCATACAGGCGAAATGTTCGGATAGATTTCTCCCCGAGGATTCTGATCCCAGGGGCTGCAGCGTTTCTCTTCGTCGGGAATCTCGTGACATACATCTTAGTCTTAGTATTTCTTTTCTCGCTGCAGCCACTGCTGACCTCCGGACCACAACGAAGGCAGAAGCGGAAATCATCAAAATACTGTTTCACACTGGCTACATTGCATACCTGTATATATCTGTATATATGTGTGCTCATATTGATAGGTGCACACGTGCAGAGATGTCTGTTCGTTGATGCGCCATGTGAGCCTTATGGTGCCTGTGTGTGTGTGTGTGTGTGTGTGTGTGTGTGTGTGTGTGTGTGTGTGTGTGTGTGTGTGTGTGTGTGTGTGTGTGTGTGTGTGTGTGTGTGTGTGTGTGTGTGTGTGTGTGTGTGTGTGTGTGTGTGGTGGTGTGTGTGTGTGTGTGTGTGTGTGTGTGTGTGTGTGTGTGTGTGTGTGTGTGTGTGTGTGTGTGTGTGTGTGTGTGTGTGTGTGTGTGTGTGTGTGTGTGTGTGTGTGTGTGTGTGTGTGTGTGTGTGTGTGTGTGTGTGTTCGTTCGTGTGCACGTTTGCATGACTACCGTGCTCATGCAGCGAATGGAGGTTTTTCACGCAGCGATACTCGATAGTGGTCCGATCCCCGGCCAGCGTTGTCATTGCTTGCAAAGGGGTGACTGCTGTGATGGCTTTGCGCCGCGCTACAGTCGGGATCCCCTCAATTCGCTTGAGCTCGGATAACCCTTGCTACAGACATGTAGAATTCTCGATGTCAGCATGGTGCTTGTGCTTGGCTGCCCGCAGGACCCCAGCCTCGGTCCGTCAGGTCCTGCCTAACCTCTATGAGCACCCGGAAAACACGACCCGAAAGATTTGTGTTGTCCCCAAAAAGCCCCGAAACCATAGGTCCGCGGTTTCGAGCCTTCGCTGCCCACATCGGATGACCGCCGCAGCTGGGGACCGCTAATCACCGCTTATCGTGTCGAGTGTTCTTCCCGCTCTCGGATGTACGGTCATGGCTGATAGCGTTTTTGGTTTGGGAGGCCCCGACTAGCCCACTCAGGGTTTCGACCAGAGTCTGTAAAATTCAGCTCTCCTACCAATGCCTCAATGGCGCAGCCACTGTAGCGAGGCTGGACACTAGCAGGCGTCGTATCACCGTCTGGTGATTCTCAAAGCCAGCCCTGAAGAGTTGAAACCTGTGTGTATGATATATCTGGAGAGCCCCACAGCCTCCTCTTCTGCATATCTATATATATATACATTTATTTATTTATTTACATGTGTAGTACTTACTGTATATATATATATATATATATACATACATACATACATATGTGTTTTATCTATTTGTTTGTTTTGATTATTGATGTGTGTATGTATGTGCGTACCTCGTCGTGAATTGCTACACGGGCTTCCTCGCAGCCACAAGCTCTTCTTTATGATGTGTAACATCTAACATGCAACATACAAAGTATATATCCGCACATGAAACGCCGCGCAGCATTTTGGTATGATGTGCTTTTATACAGAAAAGTGATATACATATGTCACAACAAGTGTAATATGTTACAAATGGTATAAAAATACATAGCTGATAGACAACATTAAAGTGGGAAGCTGCGCCAGGAAATGCGGCCATCTTGGCCCAGAGGCTCCCTGGCCTGGTCGAGTCCGTGCTGGAGTCCAGGCACCGGGGACGGTTTCTTCGATGGTTTGGATGGGGATAGGGACCGCTACTGTAATAATGGGAGAGTTTAGGGTTTAGGGGATAGGGGCCCTTCACTGTAATCATCAGAATGAATAGGTATTTTGTTTGTATACAGCAAGCAGCAACCGACACAGCCGTGCTGATGGCCATAGTCGAAAATGCCAAGGCTCATGAGAATAAACCCAGGCTGATGGTGATCATTAGCGTTTAGGGTTTGGGGTCTAGGGGAGAATTTCACGAAGCCTTGGTGGAAGCGCCCGAAAAGCCGTGAAAGGGGTTTGCTAGCGTGTATAGACTCACGATGCCACATGCCTGAACCGTGATCATGCAGATGAACTCCCCAGATTCATGCCTGCACTCTTATATGGAGTCATTAGTTTCACACGCATCGAATGAAACGCCTTTGAAATCGGGTTTAAGGGGTTTAGAGTATGTGGACGTTGGTTTGGGTTGGGTTTGTGGTTTTAGCCCGTGTCCTTACACACGAATGCGGCAACACCTCTACAATGTACAATATCGGTTTGGGTGTGGCTTAATCACCCACGTCATTCCTTAGGCGTCCTCAGTATGTTTCTACTATAAGATACACCAAAACCATCCAAAGCCCTATTCTATTTGTTAAGGTCCCTATGTTAGTTATCATCTTTCTGCTGTTGCTTAGCACCGCTTGACAGCCAAAGGCGGGTTCTGATACTAGTTCATACTACTACCGTGCAAGTTTGAGCCGCATCCGACTCAGGAACAAAGAGTCTTATGACAGCCGCAGAAAGGCAAACACAGAGCGTATAAGTATTACTGCTACTGCTGCAGTTATTAACCTATATTGTATTGCTTATCATCATCATCATCATCTTTCTACTGCTCTACAACTACCACTGACACTATATTGAGTCATAGTCGAGCTCTACCCGCCGCTGCTGTTTCCACTGCAGAAATTGGTTCACCGACGTTTTACCGAGCAACTTGTTACTTCGTCCTTAGGGCGGCCAGGGTTTGGGATGCCTTTTTGTGCTTGGAGCCGTAAGGTATGGACGGACAATGAACGAGATAATTGCAACCCTCTTGGCCCTCCCAACCCCAAAGTGCCAGAACACGAAGCCGAATACGAAGCCAATGTCGATTGACCCCACACCTACAATCCAGAAACAACAAGGAATCAGATGGCTTCATGGGGATTCCCGAACACCTCTCAACCCACATCGAGCTGTCAAAGGCATGCGGAAGAGCGAGGGTTTGACCTTCATGACGCTGCTTTCGTGGTGGCGGCGGTGGAGCGGTTGATCTTCGATGAGGACTCTCTTTCAAGGAATTAAAGGGCTTGGTCGTTGCTAGGGCGGCAGGAGTTGCTGGCAAGGGGGGGGTTCAAGACCGCCAAGATCTTATCTGATGCGGGGATTGAGAGATGTAGGACATAGATTTTTTCAGCGACTCCGCAAGCGAGTTGCGGATGCTGAGTGGAAGAAGTTTGAGAATCGCAACGCGCCCTTCTTGGCTTGGCAAGATGCAGCGATTTCTGACACTTGATAGAAAATGTCTGCTCTTGCATGTCCCCTTCAAGCCCATGCTATCCATCTCAAATCTGGACTTGGACGCGGCATTCATACCGCATGGGCAGTCAGCCCCCACTCAAGAGCCTGACGAGGGCGACCAAGGTATGTATGATCCACGCAAGCTACCCATGATCTCACGAAACGCGAGAGGTCGAAACGTGTTGTGCACAGGAGGCCTCGAAAGTTTACTTTCGGAAACAACATAGCCGATCTCGACCCGACGGACAGCACGACGGCGTCGCGAGAATGTCAGATGTCTAGTAGTAACGCAATATTAAGATGAAGAAGAGAAGCTTAATGTGGCCATATAACAACGCAGTGGTATCAATGTGATAAACTAGTGATACATAAGTTACATAAGTATAACAGTATAAGACTGTATATGATGTGTGTACATGCACGCAATCAATGATGGCATCGCGGCCACTGCTCAGCTTCCAAAGCGTTTGGGTTTCGGCGCTGAAGGTTTCTACAGATTCCATGACATTCAGACATCGCCTAGTGGAGCAATACCTCTCCTCACAGCTTTGTTGTGAGCCTTCACTTCTAAATGACCAGGAAAGCCACCTGCTTGCCAAATCCTATGAGGCCGCGGCAGAAGTCGGGCCAAAACAATAGCGTAATTTCGCAGAATCTAAGCCCTACGGTTCCAATGAGAAGGCCGAAAGGCCCTGTAGTCGAATCTGTTCGTTGCCGGCGATAGTCCGAGAAGGAGCGGCTGGGAGCTGCTAGAAGCATGGTTGTGCCGTGAAAAACACCTGATGACGTCTTGTCTCTACAGCCAGCATACCCCACAGATCATGCTACATCCCCCATGGAACATGTGGCAGATGAGCGTGGTGCCCTGCTTCCAACACGAGAAACATCCCACGACGGCAACTGAAGCATGCTTCCTTCTCGTCCCTAACATACTTACTTGTCCCAGGCACAGCTTTCTGCACCTAGCATGTGACAGCTAGGCCAGATCTTTGGCTTCTACAGTCCTAACGGTGCCCCCGGCCTCAACCGCAAACCATAAGAAAGGCAAGAACAGTACTAAAACAAGTATTACGAGTTACAGTTAGTACTACTTACTACGACTGATGTAATAATCATATCACTAATGCTTCAATAGACACTACTGCCAGGCCCAGGGCCAGACTCCCCAGAAGGCCCTGGGCGAGGCGGAGATGCAGCAGGTCGGGCGGCCAGTTTCCAAAGGTTGAGGAGAGTCATAGAGTCATGCTGAATGCTTCTTTTCAAGTCGATGTTATAAGTTATAAGGGGGCGTGCCTTTTCAAGGTTGCAGTAGGGGTTCTGGCAATCGATGAGCTGGATGTGAGGAGGTATTCCCCTGCAGTAATCCCCCCGTGCCCACTCCGATAGGGCCGCCTCTTGCAATTTCGCGACCTGTCGGAGCTTCGTCAGCAATTGTCGCCTTGTCAGGTGGTGGAAGACTACCTGGTTCGCTGGTTGATGGGAGATGACGAAGAAGGTCCGCCGGAGAGGATGCCATTACTCGCGGTGCAACTCTGACATTCTTTTCATATCTTGTCATCATTCTGCCGAGGTTTCTGCAGAAGCTCCGCGTTCATACGAATCCTGCGCTGTGAAGGTACGAAGTTGCTGCTGGACAACCGGACCTTGCTGGACAGACATGCCACACACTGCCACAAACCGCAATGCATGTCTGATAATTAAGTTCATTCGAGGGGGCTTTGTAGCTGTAGTCTGACAAACTTGCCAGCTCAAATTCTCAAAACGAAATCCTCAAGGGGTCCTGCCTGCAGAATGGGTAACTAGACGAGTGCCAATGTGCCATCGCCCGTTTTGAACTTGTCCTGGAGCATGGTGCTCTAATGAGTACTCGGACTGTTGAATTGAGGAGACCTCATTTCCACATTGGAAAGATCTCGAAGCGTTCGGACATGGCCAGCTGAGGTGCACTCTGCACATTCTCGTCTTCAGTTACATACATATTAGCGAGCTGCGCAATGCACTGTGCCAACTTCTTCGAGAGAACCCAGGGAGCAGTTTCTGTGATCCGATGCGCATTGGGCCAGAGAGAAGATTGGTTACAAGCCCCGAGACTGCAAGAGCGACAGCCCTGAACTCCAACTTGATGTTCAGGGCGCTGACATATGTGCAGCAAAAGTCGCAGCCACTTTCCGGCAAAGCCTTGCAGACAAGGTCGGCTGCCTGAAATTCTGCGGGATCAATGTTGCAATTTGATGACGAGTGGGATCGAACGAGGTGCTTACGATCGGATTGTAGCATGCAAGACTTGCGTGAAGGGTAGTCGTGCCTTGAGATTGCACCATCGCCTCTTTGATTCTGGAGCTATGTCGTGAAAACTGGGACCTGCCAGGGCTAATCAGACTTGCGTACCTCTGACAAAGACAGGCATAGTTACGTGCAAAGATTCAATTCCAAACACCTATCATTTGTGCCACCGTTCGCTTGTGCGTAGTTGTGTGCATCTGTTGCTTGCTTTTTGCTTGCCTGCCTAAATGGGAAGGTCGACTTGCTCATGCTTCACACCAGAGCACACTGGCGAAGAAGAGCTTGTTTTCACAGTGCACTTATCCGCATCCAACCAACACTTACGACGCACGCCATACGGTTCGTGCCAGCGACTGCTACTGCATGGCATGTTTGCATTTGAACATACCTTCGGGTCATAGTCGCTCCCGATTCCTGTAGTCATGAAGCATTCCCTGAGTCGCTGACTTCCCCAGTCATGATTAATTTTAGTCGCTGCCGAAGCACCGAATCTGACACCAAGCACCTTCTGTGTACCCCGACGCACTGAGAGAATTTCGCGAGGTATTCTTACCAAGATGCCCACGATGTTGCCGGAAGATTGGCGGCAGTTGCTTCGGGTTTGCGGGTTGAGGCTTCAGATTAACTTCGCTCTCGAGGGTAGCCAGTGGGCATGAAACCGAAGGTGAGTTTGTCCGGTTGTAGACTTGGTGACTTCTGTATCTATCGGCACTTACTGAGCTTAAGACCCCACGTGCGGCCTCTGACGTCGTGCTGTGCACGTTTGTGAGTCTATCTATGTACGTAATGTAGATATGTATGCGTGCATGTACGTATGCGTATATGTATACGCTCAGTGTTACACACACATATACCGTGTCACACACTATGACTATATGCCGATACCTCTCCATCTTTAGACATCTAAACATCCTGATATATGTAAAATCCATATTTATGCAAATCGAAACATCTATATTATGCCTCTAGTAGATCTGTACCTTTACCAGTGTGCATATCTATATATGTCTGGGTTTAGTCATTATCTATACCCGTAGTCATATACATATCCATGTCTCCATCCATGTGTTGGTCTGTATCTTCAGCTGCACCTTGCATGTACATTTACAATCTGCATCTAAATCTGAATCTACATCTACACCCATATCTACAACTGCATCTGTATCTACATCTATCACCCGTATCTAATCTGTATCTCTATCTACATCTAAACTTATATCTGTATCCACATCTGGCTCTACATCCCTATCCAGACCTCTATCTAGATCTAGATCCATATCAATGTATGTGGCTCGTGGGAAAACCCCGAACTCATTGGATTTGGGTGTAGCTTCGAGCTTGCTCTTTGGGGGGTTCCTGTCTTAGCATAATGGGCCCCAAAACCCTAGGCTAACTAGTCAAGCCCGAAAATAATAGAGCCCTAAAAACAACCCTAAAATTTAAGAGTGACCCTATTCTAATTGTTCATGCCCCTATATTCGCTTCGAGTTTGGGTTCTTTGGTCCTACATCCACAGGAGGCTCTAAACTTGACAGAGCCCTTGACAGGAACCCTTCTAGTACCCTTATAGTAGCCCTTAAAAGGAAGCCCTTTAAAGGAACCCCAAGCTGCCCCCAAATTTGCGGAAAGCTCTACATCCACTGGAGGCAGCATCACTCGGTCCTTCGCCTCCTTCTGGCAATCCGAGTGCACCGGACTGAAGGTGCCACGCCCACTTCATAGCAATAGGAATAGTAGTATCAGTAGCGAGAAAAATCATAAAACTAGTAATAACAATAAAGCATAGGAATTTAGCAATAATAGCAATAATAATAATAATACCAGTAGCTTCGAATTTACGGAACGACAATGGTCGCAAAATCGCATGTAGATCGCATGATCAAGTTCTTAACCATCCAGGTTCACCCTGGTTCCCTAGACTTCAAAAGCCGCTTGAGGCCTTGTGTCAACTCGGTCTGATACACGCCAGTCAGATTAGTGGACATGAGAAGTCATGCATATAGTAGATGACCGGCCTCGGATGGACAAATTCGTAGAAAATAAACTCGCGATCACAGAACAGCCAACCGGCAAAAGGAATCATGCCGGCGATGACTACATGTGCAACGGGTGGGGGGCTCTCGGGTGGGGCGGAGATACGCTGCAGGGCAGGCTGCTGACAGAAGGGTAGCCAGCAGGGCAAGCTAATTCCGGTTAGCGGCGCAGGACAAGTGCCTTGTCGCTTACATGTGCTGGTAGGTCAATCTTCAAATGTCGGGGCATAGGTCTTGCAGCATGAGGATCCTGGGTCGCGGCAAGATTGGCGCAGCTTTGCAGTTTGCATACGGGTGGGACTCGGTGTTTGCTATTTGCTCTAGCACGCTGCCTTGAGAGTGCGATCGTTTCCTTCGATTCGATGCTCTGCCACTTCTTGGTATTGGACCGTGGCCAACCATTGAGTTGCAGGAGTCGCTGGTGGCCATGGACCCCTTCCACACCGGGCGCGTGCCGCTGTCGAAGTTCTACGGCACAGGCCTTCAGCCAAAGATGAACTTTTGTCTTGCCGTCACGACGTCTAGCTCAGTCATTGTTAAGCACGAAGTCTGGCAGGAACTCTTGGATGCTGGGTTTATTCATAGGCCAGTTGAGCTTGAGTTCCAGTCGGCCGGGGCATCGAGGAGTGCGAAAGACGATTCGGATTTTGGTGGCTCAGCATCGGGTCTGTGAACTCTATACCCCATGCCCTCAGGTGGGGTGTGGTCTCTAGGATTTGCTCATCTACATCTTAGGCAACGCTAAAGCTCATCTGTGCCGCACGGTAGAAAAAACCCATGTCACGGCCACCAGACAGGCGACTGCCATCCTGCGAGACACCTGAAGCCTAAACTTCTGAAGCTGGAACCGCCAACTTCCGAAACCCTAGCCGCAACACCCTGACTGCAGCATAGATCCTAAAGACAGTTGCGCTAGCTCGGAAGCTGGATCAGGCCTCGACGAAGACTGGCGCTTCGGCGAGTCTGAGCAGGGGCCCCGATGTTCCGATGTCCATGGGTTTGGAGTTCTGGGTTTGGCCTGGAAGATTGCTTATCAGCAAGAGCTCTCTGTAGTTCACTTCCGGAGCTACGAAGCTAGAACAGCCAGAAATCAACAGTCGCTTAAGTTGGCTGTTCAGCGAATGCAAGTGATTTGAAGTGGTGCCTTCTTGTAACAAACTAGGATGGTTCTGCTATGGTGCTGGTGCGGTGAGGTAGGGTGCGTTGCGGTACGGTATGATATGGTGTGGCGTGGTACAGTATACTTTCATCAGGTTTTCATTTTTGAAAACATTGCGGTTAGATTTGAAAATCTCGAGGTTCTGCGTTTCGTGGTTGTGCACTGAGAGCTTTGTCCTGCTTAGGCCCACACTCGTGCTTGTAGAGAAAAGTTCAAGAGTCTTGGACAGGTTGCACACCATCCGACTCTTGCGCATGCTCGGGATCTTCGAACTCGCTGTGCACTTCATAAAGACATAATCAGAGTAATGTGGATGGGAAACGGAACAAGACGCCTTTTCGCCAGCACGTGCAACCACCAGTCAGGAAGTGTGACGTTACTCTGAGTTCTAGGTTGTCGGCCGTACGCCCAAGCATCCGTCTTTCCCACACAGGAAGCTGAACCGCCAAAAAAGTGTGATGTAGTAGCAGTAGCAGCAGCAGCAGCACTAGCAGTCGAAAAGCAGTAACAGTTGTTGCAGAGTTATTGGTGGTAGTGGTAGTGGTAGTAGTAGTAGTAGTAGTAGTAGTAGTAGTAGTAGTAGTAGTAGTAGTAGTAGTAGTAGTAGTCAAATACTACTATTATTGTCGTAGCAGTAGTAGTAGTAGTAGTAGTAGTAGTAGTAGTAGTAGTAGTAGTAGTAGTAGTAGTCGTAGTAGTAGTCGTAGTAGTAGTAGTAGTAGTAGTGGTAGTGTAGCAGTCGTAGTAGCAGTAGTAGCAGCAGCAGTAGCAGTAGGACCTAAAGAGCTTCTTACGGTTGACATTGATGCTGTGGGATGGTCGGGAGGAGGCTCTGAGTCGCGTCGCTTGACGTGCTCTGCAGGTTTTGATTCCTCCGTTAGCAAGTTGCGCACAACTTTCCACTGCCATGCAGCTCTCTGATTTCGGAGCCCGAGCCTACCAGGTCCTACTTGAGAGAGCTCGGGGCACTGGACGAGACGGGGATGCATGGCAAGCAGGCGGAGCTCCAATCGCTTCATGTCCAACCAGATGAGTAATCAGTCCTGCATGACGAATCAACCAGTCCAGCGGTCTGATCCCGCAACTCCACAAGCAGAATCATTGCTGCTATACACATGTAGAACTGTAGAACATAATCGGATGCTGCGTACTTTGACCGGAGGTTACGACGAAAAGCAATCATGCGTAATGGTGCTACAGTGACAATTTCAAGAATGTCTTATCCTTGCTCTCTTGTCAGTCCATGTCGGAGAAGGCTGCTATTTGAAGACATCTGACGGACCCCCCAAGTGTCCCGCTGCAGAGCAGATCACAGGTCATCATACCCAACTACATCCAAGCTGCCTCGAACTGCTCCTTGGCCATAGATTTAGGCGCTGTGCCACCGGATACTATGCCAGCAGAGACTGTTCTCGCACAAGTCCGTCGGACACTCCCATCCTGTCCTGCTTTCGTTTCGGACGTACTTGGCCTGAGCTTTCGTGACGTTATTTCCACATTGACCTGGTAAAGCCTCGAACCTAATGATACCATGTCACGAGACGATTGTGCCTGTTTTGAGATGTCATGCTGCATTGTACTTCCATCTGTTGCACTGCATTCCTGTGTACCATACACAGGATTTGGTGTTTGAGGGGAAGTGCTGGTCTCACTCGTTGCTATACTAGAACACACCACATCGCACGACCCTGAGTTGCCATGGGCTAGTTTGATCTGCAGAAAAGGCGAATGTCAGACAGTCAGCACTTCGCAGGTAAGGTTATGGGATCATTCTTTCAACTTGGGGCTGGAAAGTGTTGCGAGGAAGGGAGCCAGCACATAGAAAAAGGGTTGGTGCTTGCCACAGCTCAACTACTTGTAGTAGCAAGAATGGGCTTGGAGAGTATCTTGACCTGGCAACCTCGGCCAGGCATCGTCACGACGCAGCACTACATGGTATGCTGCACCACTGACTGCAATGACATCATGACAGAGATCGAGTCGGAGATCGCTCAGCCAACTGCCCAGGCGTGCCGTTTGTGTCGATGTACATAATGTACCGCTGCTACGGAATCTTACAGAATAGAGCACATGCAGATGCAAGTAGTGTACAACAGCTTGACGGCACTTCGATGTCATGTGGGCATTTGCAGCCATGCATCTGGCAAATGAGTAGACTCCCTGACTCTCGACTGTCTGCGGCCGGCACTATTCTCCAAAAGAATCGTTGTCACGTAGTTTTTGAGTAGATGTGTTACGTCGCCTCAGGCTGCCCGCATTCTCGAAGTGGTCGGCAACATGACGACAGTTTCCTCTTTGGAGGCAGTCTCGGCGCTTGCACGGGGTCCCGCAGAAGTACATGATGTATCAACATGACCTAATGTCCGCTGTTCCGTCCACACAGAGATCTTCAGCGGCCGGAGCATTTCCCTCCCTCGGCTCTGGATTTCTACTGTGCTTCAGATATTGCTCACACCCCATAGGCACGGGCTTCGGCCGTTTTAGCAAAAGCATAGTTCGAGCAACAAGACTCCGCTTCCATTCGCACCTGCGCCGTTGCAAGACTCCAGGACGAAGGCGAAGTCCGGATTGATGACGCGCTGGCTGCGCAGCTGAGAAGCATCGAAGCAGCTAATGGTGGAGAGGCCGGCCGCACAGACTGAGTTCTAGGAGTTGCAGGAACTGGAGATGTGGGACCTAGGGGATCGTGCTCTTGAGAGAACGGATGCTTTCGTGTTGAGAAACTTGCATTGGATTGGCAGGTGCCGTTGCACGGTCGCTTGTACTTGCAATGGTTGCAGAGTCCTCAGATGCCGGTATTGAAACAGGCATGTCTCGCCGTACGACGAAAGTAATGTCCACGTACAGTTTTCTTGCCATCGTTTGCTTCGAGGTGCCTACTGCTGACGGCCGAAGGGATTAAAACAGCCGTTCAACTGACTGTAGCTGTATCTGTAGCGCTTGTAATAGTCGTGGGGAATACACAACGAAGGCCCAGCCGAAAGTGGTGCGTACAAGGTCAGAGCTAGGCTTAGACGGAAGAGTCACTAAGTCACTAAGGCACTATGTCTTCCCGCGCGAGTGCCCGTTCCCCCACAAGACAGGCAGCACTGCTGTGCAACTTGTCTGATGATCTATGTAGCTTGATGTGAGTGGTGCTACTGTGCAAGCCAGTGCAAGCTGGTTTCCCGGCTACACCCTCGAGCTTTTCCTCCAAGTCGTGATCGCGTACATGGTGTATTGTGACGACGTTCCATATTATCGAGTCATCGTTGCTGGTCATCTCAATGCTTTGTAAAACTTGTGCACTGGCCCAGGTTTAAGTCTTCGGTTTTCTGTGCCACCCGCACACGTGCGGGAGGAAATGGCACGCTGGCAACATCCAACATTCGAGCATTTCGAGCCGTCGCATCCTATCAACGCTGCAAGCGTGAAAGCGTTCGAAGATGTATGCCAACCCCTGACGGCTCGTCCTGAGACACGGTCAAGGGATAGGATAGCTAAGGCTTCTAAAGTACGAGTCCTCGCACATTAGTTCAGAAGAGCCCCAAGACCACCGGACCGAGGACTGCACCGTCAGAGTTTAGCGGCGAGTATGTGGCCACCCTGCAGGAAATGCAGGCCATTGGTTGAGTGTTGAGGTTGAAAGTGTAACGATTCGCTTCCATGAGAGGAGGCTTTGACTGTGGCGAAGGGTGATAGGGATGAAGACGGATCACATGTTCGCAACCTTGCACCGTTAGGACTAGATGCTGTACTGTCACACTGCCTGAAAGAGAGATTGTCCGCTTGGTTTTACTTGTGTCTTGAACGTGCTCGGGAGGACAAGATCTAGATCACGAGCAGTGTTCGTGCCGACATTTGTGCCTCCTGTCTAATGTTTGGTGCGTTTACTATGGTGTTCCCTTGCTGCTCCTCCAGGCGATGAGAGCCACCGAGAATGACACAGTGCTGCCACACAATGTGACCCTGGCGAAGGAACTTCCCTACATGAAAACACTTTGTAGGGCTGTTCGGGTTTCCGTGCAACCAATAGTGTTACAGATAGGTGTTGATGGATTTTGCAAGGTCCGTTGCCACAACCCTGAGCGAAAGACTTACCGCTTGGGCCAATCCTTCCGGCCGATACTGAAGGGAGGCAATCTCTGTGGTTTCGTCCCCCCTCCGCACAGCAGTTCTGATACATATACCAAAGCACCCATTCATGGGCCATCCCTCACATTCACCCTCACATCAAACGCCCCAGTTGACACTAATGGTCGTGCTCGTGGGGAGGATGGACCCGTGAAAGCTCTTCCTGGGTGCCTTTTCTCTGGGACATCGCGACCTTGAACTCCAACTCAAATCCCAATCATGCAGAAGCTGAATGGACGACACCTAACGGCTGTCACACCCCAGCCCCGTCCATCCATCCATATATCCATCCATCCGTTTGCTTACAGACATTCCTTCTGCCATTAGCAGTTAGGGTTAGTTATGAAGTGGCTTCTGTCACGGGTCTCACTAGCAGTTGCAGCCCTCGAATAAATGCAAACCAGACGTCTCCGAATGAAGAGTTTCGAAGGCATCGTGCTCCGAGTGTAAAGCCCTAAGTCGGCCTGCCTTTCGAAACTCTGCTAGGTGTGTTCGCGCTATCGTCAACATCAGGCCGATGGCGGGGCCTCGCACTCCCCTGAACTACCCTCGCGCGCAGGAAGAGCTTCAGTGGATGTCGCAATGGAGCGAGGAGGAGGAGCTCTTGCTCAGCTATGAAGGACCGTCGGAAGCTTGGAACGGGGCATTCTTAGAGGTCTGCGCACTGCTTCGGGGGGCCGCAGCTTCCATAGGGCCATGCTGGTGGCAGGACTGTCGAACACTGTGAGTTGGAGGCGTCGTTTGATAATCGGCCTGAGCCTGAGCACTGAAACAGGACTGGAGGCACAGGCTTTCGAAATTCGTGTCCTCCAAGCACAACTGGACCTGCCTGGCCCATGTTTCTGTCAAGCGTCGTGCAAGCCATCTCCAAGCTATCGGCGCTTGTGCACTTGAGGTGGCTTCTTCGCGCTGCTGGCAGCAAGTGTTGCGGGGACAGTTAAGATCTCGCACCACAAGGCAAACCAGTGTTGCATTTTAAAACATACTATGGGCCGGCGGCACATTGAGAGTTGTATCTCTGCTTGCAGAAGAGCTTGCAACTGCATCAAGAGAATTCCGAGATTTGCGGCTTGCTGGATTTCGGGGTGCGTGGTGCTCTAACAGGCCAGCGGCTGTCACCGTCAACTGCCTCTATGACGGCATCGGCTGCATGAGCAGCGAATAACGCAGACAATCGCGTAGAAGATTGAATGGCGTTGTACCCGAGCTTGGTGAAATGCATTGGCTGTCAGCTGTGCATGCAGCAATCGAGTTGTTCTAGGATATCTCGAGATCGGAGCTAGTGCATATTTCTCCTCCTCCCAAAAAAATCAAACAAGTCAGGATGGGTTCATATGCATATATATATATATACTTATATACATGTACATATATATATATATATATATATAAGTGCCAGCAAGGCTCCGAGAACTCCAAAAGGAATAACTGGCTCCTAATTGCAGGGGCAGATGGTAAACTCACATTCCTGCAAGGTATGGCTCGGTTCCCCAAACTATCCAACTAAGGGACGATTGGCTTCCCGAAATCCTGAGTCGTGACAAGCGATGTACACAAAAGAATAATGCGGTAAAGAACACTGGTTCAGCAAAACCCATAACCTTACCAGAAGTGGATGCGGCGGCTTCGTTATCAATTGGCCAACTATAAAGATTAGATATAAATGCTAGCTTCCGACTGAGAGCCAACCTCCAAACCCTTGTCCTTGAAGGGATGAACTGATCTATCCAGCATAGAACTGAAACCGAACTCAGGGTATTGCTAAGAAGAAGACTAGATGAGCGGCAAGTCTTCAACCTTAGTCCTGGCAAAGCCGTTGTAATCAAAGAGATATATACTTCGGAATTACGGTTCTCCAGACTTCATGTTCGTAGTAGGACGGGTTATTGGTGCAGGAAAATCATATTACTAGCAATGGGATTAGTACCTAGAATGTCATCACTAAGCACCAAACCCTACAAAAGAAGGTGATTAGACCTCTAAAACCCGACGGAATAGTCGTGCAAGTTGTATGTCGAAGTCCCACCCCCAAACGAAGTGATAGGATGAAATGATAGGTGACAAATCGCTGATTGTCAAGACGCCTCAATCAGGCGAGAAATAATGGATGATGGAAGACATAAGGACTGAGTATCTAAGACTTA